TTGTATCCTCTTAATGGAAATTATCAAAAGAATCTCAGAAGTGGTGGTTTACTTTTTTTTTTTTATTTTAAATATAAAAGTCTGTTTCTATACAGATCGTTATCTATGTAGATAATTATGTATATAGTTAAATATCTACATACATATTCTATATCTATGAAAGATCGTACACAATTATGTATATAGTTAAATATCTACATACGTATTATCTACCTGTAGATCGTTATCCGTACGAATATCATTTGTTGTCTTCTTTCTAATCGTCTGATAACAACGTCCATGATGCAACGTTTTACAACGACCTCTGAAAAATACCGTCGATACGAACGCGGAAATAAATCTTTCTACCCAGCGGAGAGGTTCCCCGCTTGTACCTTCCTCTGTTCGAGAGGAAAGACTCGCGAAACGATTTCGATATGCAATCGTACCGACTGAAATTCCGAAATAATAGGGTCGGAGGTCCGCGGAGGCCACGTACGAATGTTCGTACGTTGTTGCGAAGATCGAACACCGTTGCTCCCCTTTCCACACGTTTCCCGAGACACGGACGCGTAGCTATGCCACTTTTGATACGGTTCCGGCTGGGCAAGGACCTCTCGACCCTGCCTCGGGTCGAGGCATCGCTCGGAAGGGTCGGTCGCGAGGCGACCAGCTGGCAGAGACCTTTCGCTTAGGTGCTTTCAAGGTGTGCTGCTGCACGTGCACGTGTTCAGCCGTGCTCACGAATGCGCGGCTTGACGCGTCGGCGTGATATCGCATAAACGCGCGTTCCATCGTCCGTTTCTATCGAAATCGGAAGAAACTCCTTTTCTTCCGCATGCCTGCCAGTACGCCGATATTTCACGCGGCTAACGCATCAAAATTCCACTTGGATCCCCGAGTGTCTTTCCAACCGCCCCCTTTAATTACCGGGATCGATGTCAAGAGGATGATTGAACGTAGGATCTCTGATTAACCGGATAGTATTACACGCCTGGCATTGCTCAGTCACTTTTGAGTCGCGAGCTCCCCTCAGTGGATAATTATTATTAGATTGCTTGGTTGTTTATACGAGTGTTCGTACTCTCGCGTGTGTAATTGATAACGTGGGAGATGAACAGAGTATTCTTTCATTTAACCGGCAAATATTTTCACAGCGTGCAAAATGTACCAATGAAAAATTGTCGACAATTGAAACTCATATAATTTTGTAAAAAATGGTCCATTTGGCTTCATTAGTACAAATCTCATGAAGTACAAAATCTCTATTTCGACAGTGGTGAGTTCATTTTTTTTCTTTTTTTTTTTTTTCTAACAAGTTTACATTGTGTAGCGGGTGGGAATTTTTAATACTGTCAAAATTTAAATTCGTGTAGAGACACGAAAAAAATTTTTTCTATGACCAGTCTACTACTAACGAGACTTAAAGATTGAAATTTTCTCTTTAGAACTACTTCTTAAAACTCGCTGTACGATATTTTTTTCATTCTATTGAATTTTGAATAAGATTAAAACTTCAAGAAACGCTAATATTTCGTCATCTAATGTTCAAAGTTCAATGAAATGGTAAAAAAGAAATACAGCAAGTTTTTAAAGAGTCGTTGTAAAGCAAAGACTTCAGTCTTCGAAATGATGATTGATGTATTTCACAAAAAAAATTTTTTAATATTTTTACGCACGTTTGAATTTTCACAATTTTCAAGATATCTTCGCTTTTCCACTTGCTACATCTCGTACTAAATCATGTACTAAAGAATTTCGAAGAGAACAAACTCTGCTCAAAGTAGAAGCTTCACGTTTCAAAATGAGACCACGTGAATTGCCACATAACCTTCAGATGCATCTTTTCATACGTCACATTCTTTATACGTAAACTTTCGAGCTTCTCTGTGAAAATACATACTCAATAAAAATCGGAAACGAAATGCTAAGATTGGATATCTCGGAATGTAATTCCAATTTGACATTCAATTTCGCAGTTAAACGTTCTCGATCGAAAGTAATCCATACGATCACCGCAATTGTGGGAATCTAACAAGGTCTGGAACGTCTTTGATTAAACACAGAATTTACAGATTTCTTACACGAGCGTCAAGTTCGTGTTGCAATATATTGAAGAAAAATCCTCGTAAACGATTTCCAACTGTCGTGTCCACACCTTGACGTTTATAGGAAGTGTACCTTTGGCTGAATGTTCGGAGGATCATCGGTTGCGATACGTTTAGTGGTTAGCTGTCCGTGGCTCGTTTGCAGCCGTCACGATTATGACAAGGTTAGTTATTAATTAACCTTTATACACGGCTGTTTGTCACGATCCTGCTACTAGGAAAATACTGGTTCATCCAAACGTTATGATGCAGCATAGTTTATGCCAGGGGGTTTATCACAGTGTCCATCCTTTTCTCTTTTTTTTTTCTACGTTAAATCGCGATGATAAACATTTTTAATTTTAAAACCCGGGATATATCGCTCATATTATCCCCTTCTGTTGGAAACTTTCAAGCGAGAAATACTTAAGAGAAATTATTCTGCATTATCCTTTGGGAATTTCAGCTTTACGATGTAAATGAGAATGAATTCGCCCCAAAGAGTATCCTCTTTCTTTCACGCTATTACTTAAATTCCGGCGATATTTTTGCAAACAATAACCCGACGAATTCTTCCAGGTGTAATTTTGACAGAAGAATTCCCTGCAGCGTAGATAAATTTCGCGATTAAAGTCCCCGAACGAAATTGTAAGAGCGAGATGTTTCCAAAAATTCTCTCCAAAAGTTCTCTCTGCTTTCTAACGAGATGCAAATGCTTTCCACAAAAGTTTCGACGCTGCGATCTATTTAGTTTCAAACGAAATAATTCGAGAAAGGGAATCACAGATGCGATCATTTCGCGACAAAGGAAATTCGTGCGTATCTCCACACGAGGTAAAATGAGTCGATGGTGTTTAATTGAAACGCTGGAATATTCCCTTTGTTTCGCTTTTCCGTTCTGTCTTCTTTTTTCCCCCTCCCCTCCCTCGTTGCCATTTTCTAGAATATTGAACTTCGGGACCGTTTAGGTTTACGGTTCGAAAATATTCAGGTAAAAGTACACGCGTGTAGAAAAACCGACGCGAATGAATGAATAATGGTCACGTAAAGCGTCTGAGTCTCTGAAAGATAAAATAAAAGCGAAGAAGAGCTGACACTTTTTTTTCTTTTTTCCTAATTCGAATCAAAATGTCCCTCGTCGCATATAAATAAATTCTTACCTGCTCCGCATAACGAGTCAACGTCTGGGATTATTTTGCATGTACGGTTATTCGCATCCGACGCGAGGACAGCCGATCTGCAAGATCGCGAATTCTTATCTGGCCGCAGAGGCGCCTAATCCTCTCGATTCAATCCGCACAAATTGCCCTTTACAGGCAACTATAATGAGACGGTTTTAACATGCGTCACCGGTATCTACTTACGCAACTATTCGATAATGTCGCGAATAAAATCAACGTGATCTCGCGGCGCGCGTATGTACCTGACCGCTCGTACATACCTGAACCGATGTATCTGAACGCGTGCTTGTACATGTACAAACGTGAATGCGGAAGAAAAGTGGAGTGGACTGGTAACGAGCTCGATTACAAATTAGATCGACCGATCATTACAACGACGGAGTTTCCACGTATCATCTCTTTTTGTTTCTTCTTTTTTTTTCTTTGTTTCTCTCGTTTTTCTCTTTTCAAAATCTGACGCGCCGTCATCGGTATAATTGCAGTCGTAGAACGGCCGCGATATCGTGCCAATTTTTCTCTCTCCCTTCATTTTTTCTTTTTTTTTTTCTATACCAGGTATTTTTTATAGCATAGAGAGAAAGACGCAGTGACGCGGGTATAATTAGTCTGGCCACGATCAAAGCGTTCCTCTAATGCCTTCGAGCGGACGCAAAGTGACAACGATGAAAAACAGCAGCGGCGTGTGGCGTGGAAAACGCGAGGGAAATATTTAAATAAAATCGACGCGTCGTTACGGCTTCGAAAAATGTTTACGTGCATTCTTATCTAAGAGGAAAAAAAAAAAAAAAAATGATAAAAACGACGGATTCGATTAATTTACTTCGCGTGTTCTTGTTGTCGCACAGCGAGAGAAGCGCGATTTTTTTTCAAAGTGAAGTTACATTACTGAAATCGCGGTAAATTCATCGAATTGCGACAGAAATGATTTTCGTTGCTGCCGGCACGTGACGAGATGGACAGACACTCTGATATTTCACAAAATGCCATTCTGTCCAATTTTTCTTCACCGTTTACGCAGATATCGTAGATTGCAACAATTTCGGATTGCAAACTGTTAATTTTTAAAATTTCAATTTCATTCCATCGCCGCTCTCGTGATCGTAAAGTGTAACGAAATTTCCAAAATTCTCAATTCTTCTTGAAAAAATTCAAACGTTGTATTTCGTCCTGTCTCTCCCACGCGCGACGATGAAAAGCGTGCAAATGTTTTTCGTGGCCACTGCACTGGTGTGTAGATAGAAGATGGGCGAAATGACAAACATACGAGGAATCTGGGTGGCCACGGAGCTAGTTTCTCTGCAACTTTTCCAGAAGGGTAGCCCGGCCCGTTCCCTGCTCGATGTTCCAGCTCGCATGAAACGTCGGGGACGGCCGCTTCATGACCAAGAAACACTCGAGACTCTGTAGGAGCGTAACGTCCTCCCCCTCGATCGAGGAACCCAATAACTGGAAAACGCAGCGGAGCGTGCAGAGGTGCCTTCGATTCTTCGAGACCTATACTCGAAGACGGCGGATAGAACCGAAAGGAAAGAGGAAGAGCGCCGCGCGGCGTGTGTCGATTCGCGTCGAATCTCGAAACGAGTGTGCGTCCAACCCCAACCCTCCCCGCCTGTCTCGAGGCTGGGCGGGCGGATATCGCGAAGACGACGTCGAAGGGGTGAAAAGCGAAACCAGGTCGCCGGAAAACGACCGCCCGTCGTTGAATAGGATTCGCGATGCAGCAAACGAAAAATAGCCACCGTTTCATACTCACCGGCACAGGAAGTCTCTCTCGCCTAAACAGAGCTCCAGACAGTGTTGCCGCGAGGAGGCGTTCATTGTTCTGCGCGTGTGCCCCTGAAGACGATGCCCCTGGACCCTGTCGATGCACCAGGCACGCTCGCATGGTTTCACAGCCAAGCAGCTCTTCTGAGCGTAAATCGTGAATACTGGAAACTGGGACTGCGAGAGAGCACCTGCAACACAACAGCAACACACCGTCGAATTCGCTTGCACATTTAGGACGATGAAAATTGGGTTTCCCCCTTTCTTATCGCTTTCGAGGTCTACCCCGAGGATGTTGTTAAATAAGTAGATGGAAGAACAAAGAATGAAAAGTGAATCGCGGATCTTACGAAGGCGCCACGAAGAAATGTTCCGTTTCGAGGCTCCGCGTCGTGACATTAACCCATTGCGCTGGCAACTGGTTGCGCGGACCATAACGAGTGTACAATAATTCGTCGCTTTCTTTTTCTTTCGAACTCGTCGGTGTGATATCACTGGGTAGAAATTATTAAGAAGTAATAAACTTATCATTTGTTTTGCCCTTCGGTTACATTTAAATATACTTGAAACTGAGAAAATGTTGCAATTTGGGACAAAAAATTCTCGACGCTTAAAAAGGAAGAATTGAAAGTTTCGACATTTGCGATCGTCCAAATTCCTTCGAACTTTATTTTTTTTTTTGCTTCCAAATGAAATATATTTTATTTTCAAATTGCAGAGCCTACGAATCAGAGCGTAGAGAGGAATATTCATCTGTCTGATATCTTATAAAGCTTGCACGAGGCGCGATACCGAAGCAGCTAACTCAGTTGTAACCCAGCTTCCCCCAATTTCAAATTGATGCGGATGAATGGCTGTTGTCCTCCGAGTGGACGAAAGTATCTCTCGGCTGGAGGCAGCTCGTTATTCTTTCGCTGTCGATCGTCGAGTCGAGAGGGACAGGGGCCGCGTTAAGTGGCGGAATAATTTCTGCGCCCTAGTGTCGCTGTCGCATCATTCCCTTTTACCAAATCATAATTAATCTCGGCAACTTGACGGATATGGGTGGGGCGTTTTCGATCGTGATTCGTTGGAAACTTTTCCACGAGAGAGATAGATAGATGAAGAGAGAGAGAGAGAGAGAGAGAGAGAGAGAGAGAGAGAGAGAGATCGTTCATGGGAACAGGTTAACGTGGTAGCTAGTCCGCCAAAACACGGAACATCGATCTTCCAGCAGGCGCTAAAGATATTCAATTACTTGGCTCCAGGAGGCTTCGCGGGACTAATGACTGTAGCTAATTTTAATGGCCGGCAAGAGACCACAACCGGTAACCACAACGTTAAACGAACGTTCGTTCTGCGGCTTCGGCACGATCCGCGATGTCGAATCGTTCGTAGAACGTCAGATACACAGTAGGAAGATCTCTTGACGCGTTACGGGCCGAGGGGTAAGCGCATTATAGTAATCAACGGCCACTTCCGGGGGCCTATATGTAGAAGACAGGTACCATTTACTCGTTATAATGCTACCGCATTACCGGATAATGGAGCATCGTCGGATCGTAAATATTTCACTTGGTGAACATCGGACAGAATTTTTCTCGGACAGCTTTCCTCGCTTCGTACGTTGCTTTCCAATCGCTTTTCTCCTTATTCGGCGTTTGCTACATTCGGCGAATCAACCGTCTTAAATCGTGATGAATCGAACGTGAATCAAATATAAAATAGAATATTAAATATCTCTCTTCGTTGCTGTTTCTTGCAACAATTTGGGAGTTTTCGAGCTATTAATTAAATTCAATTAAAAAGAATAAACAAAAGTTCACCAAACAGTCTAAATATTCCAAAATATTCTGTAAATATCGTAGTGGGAAATACATTCAGAAAAATTTTCTTCTTCGGAGAAAGTTAAACGCTCGTAGAGACGTTCGTGGTTTCTCTACGGCGAGGGAAATTGCAGGGAAAAATTCGCAGAGAAGGAAAGAGCGAAAAGAATACGGTTTCCTTAATTATTTGCGTTATCGCGATCTCTCCCAGCTCTGATTCATAAGCCCCCGTGTGACGGGTGGTAATTAAAAATCCGTAGAACCGTGATCTCGGTTGACACAAGACACGGTTTACCAATTAACTGTCCTCACGGTTAGTTAACATGGAAATGGCTCCAGCATCCACCAGGGGCCAGAATCGATTTGCCAGTGACGCGCGAATAGAAAAAGAACGCGTTCGTACGTGGACCGCGAAGGGAAAGAAGCGTCACAAGCGTAGACCGTGGTATTGGCCGCCGCTATCGTTCCGTATTTTTCATCGTTCGTTTAACCAGCCTTCCCTTCCGTGTCGCTCGTTTCGCTATGAAAAATATCGTTCCTGCACCCAGTACGCCACAAACTGCTGTTGGAATAACTGAACGGCCAAATGCGTGATAAATACCGGTCGTTAAGTGTACCGAGCAAGACTAATTCTTGAAGGGGAATTTAACTTTATCACGAAACGCTTGATGCCTCGCTATTCATTTCGCTCGGTTTCATTCGGCGTCGGTGGATTCCCGCTTGTCCCCCCGTTTCCAGACAGATTTTCCAACAATCGCGAGTAATAATCCTTGTTAAATGATAGCCATTGTTTCGCCTGAGCCGTGAACGTATTTGGCGTGGAGCCTGACTTAATTTCATTTATACTACTGTCACACTCTTGTTTTGTCGAAAGTTTCCGAGACGTCGGATTTCCGTAAATCAATCTGGAATTCTGCTGTCTGTTTTTAAATTAGAAGTCGCACCACCTCGGAGGAACAGTGCTATCGAGGAGGTATTTGGTGAAATATTTTATCGACGGTGTTTTTGTAAAATCAATTCGTACGAAATTAGTATTCATTCGGTACGGATGATAATTGAAAACTGATGCTATGTATATTTTCAATTGATTGACCGTAAGACTGTTTTATTTTCTAATTGTTCCGTTAATTATCAATTATCGAGAAAAATTCGTTTCGTCAATTATCAGTTGTTTCTTATCGTTTCTCTCGTATGAGACAAACACTTTTGTACATGAATGTCTCGTAAAATTGTCGCAATACACGCCGTGAACACTAAGTTGAACTATACTGAAATTCAAAGCCACTGTTGTCAAAAACAGCTGTATTTAAAGCAGCAGCAAATACTTCGACTGATCTCTCCGCGCGCGAGAATTAACGAAACAGCGACACTTGCGATTTGCATAGTAAACTATCCGACGGTACCAAATGCCAATCCCTCTCCAATATGTTTGTACGCGATATGAAATCTGTGTAACAGCAAAAGTCGCGCGCGCCGTGCATCAGCGAAGGAAAAGGAATACAAATTGCTCGTTGAGGGTATGAAACGAAATAAAACAATAACCGTGTCGAATCGAAACTGCCAATCTCTGAGAGCACGACGTTCTGGCGCTATTCCAGCTTCCCTTACATCTCCGTTTTCATTTCTTCAGCCTGGGGATGCAGATTCCGAGCAAGATTGCGTGCAGTCATAAATCTTTTAATTTCTGCCACGATACGAAAATCAAGTAGCAGGGAGATTAACGTGCTTGCTTTCAAAGCTACCCATCGTCGGTCTTCTTCCCCCTCTTGCAAAACTGGATGCAAACTCCTCTACTTTCCAACGGCGTATCGACTTCATTTCTGTCAGCAGGTTATTCGTCTTGGGGACGCGCCTTATCGTTCGACCACTTCTACCACGGGAAAATCTTCCCCGCCGCGGAAGAGGACGTATGTACGCCTTCGTGCTTAGGAGAGAAACGAAATAGCTTTATATCGCCATAAATCTGGCAGAGATTTATCGATCGTCCGTACCGTCCCGCCGCGACGTCCTACGTCATTTCGTGCACTAAAACACAGAGGTACACACCCTGTGAGCTCGAGGGAGCACGTGTAGGTTGTCGCGGCGCCGAATGGAACTGTGGAACGGGTCGGCGTCTGCAACCTCGGTATTACGGAACAGACGATCGCCCAAAATGATGCAAGCAGACCGCCTGTGTTCCACGGTAACCGTGGAGCTCTACGCGCTCCAGCCCTCTCTCCAAAGACTCTCCTCGTCGCGGTGAACTTGATGTATAATCTCGGTTTTCTTTATCTATTGTCGGACGCCCCTCTCTTCTTCTGGCTCCCGGTCTCTCTCTTTCTCAGCCGATCGCCATGTTTCATTCCACCGGCTGCTCCGACTTCCTTTCGCAAACACAAAGGCAATGAAATTCCTTCTTTACGTGGACTTTCCGCGATTCTTCTCGCATTCCGATACAGGGTGGTTTCGCTAACCGCTTTGAATATTACCAACGTTAGGAGAGGAACGTCACGATTCTTTCTTTCCCTCTGATGGGAATCGTTTTGTAAAAACTTGAAAAGGAAAAAAATATTGGACTATTGATCCGGATAATAATTATATTTTTCATACTAAACGTGTACGTCAAACGTGTCTTTATCGAATGAAAGTACTATTGCTACTATTTGCTCGTAGTATCAACTCGTTGGATTGATTCGAATTTTAGATTAAATTTTTATTTTTTTTTATTTTTTTTATTTTTTATTTTTTGATTGAATTAAATTGTCTGACAGTCGATTGTGCATGGTCGAAAGATGGATAGATTTCAAATTAACTTCGTCAAAAATTCACTTTCTGCAGCCGTGACATGATCGATTGTGAAAGATTCCAATCCATTCCTTAACTTGAGTCTTTAATTCCTTAATTTAGTACTTTGGTACAACAATCGGAGGAAAAAAGTAGATTTTTCTATAATCGAAGCGGTTGCAATCGCTTATTCATAAATATATTGAATGCAATCCGAGAGAAACTGAAACTATCGCGCGAACTTACACGATACTAACTTATACCAATAAACTTAACGAACATAAGAAACTGTTAATATCCATATTATTGCAAATTAAATGCTAAACTGAAATTGAACACCGCGCCGTTCGATAACTCGTTCAATTTCTCCAAGCCGGTTCTACTCTACGATTATTATTCTTAATAATTGCTATTTTATAGCTCATAAATATATTCGACGACGCCGCATCAAGTACTACGGATGATTATTAAACCGAGCCACTTAATTATTGCATTAACTTTCGAATTTGTTCAGGTCTGAATCATTTTGGATTATAGACTGTTATAAGCTGATCAGAGTGAATAATTATAATTATATAATAATAGATGTTGTAATTAGTGTAGATGTTGTAATTAGGTATCGA